TATATATATATATATCTCAGTCATAAGCCAAGGAAGTACTAGGGTTGTTGTTTTTTAATGAATAACACAATTACCAACATCCATTATGATCCTTGTTTTCCCAAAAACAATTAATGGGGTATATACATATATTTGAACGTTTGATGCTAATAAATAATGATATGCTATAAGATACAGATTCTAAATATATAATTAAATATATGTGACACATATATAGTACATATAATAGCTGTATGTTACATATGACACATATAGTATACTTTATGTATAGTAATTATATATTAGACTATATATTCTAACTGGGGCCATAAAAGTAAAATAAGATAGAACTAAATATGCCAAAAGTTTTTCTTTTGCTCTTCTATATTTTAAACTTCTTCTACAAAATTCTACATTACTTTATCATCATATTCAAGAGTTATTAAAACTTTAAAATGTTTGTATGGTTCAGTGGGAAGCCCTCCCAATATTTACTGCTCTCATTGTGAGTGTGGCCCCCAGAGCACCCCTCAGAGTGGAGCCCCTGCTGAGGCTACGGGGATGGACAGACCTCTTTCTGTTCGCTGCCAACACAGGGAGGAGAGGGAGCCAGGTGAGCCTTCCACTCTTCCAGTGCCTGCAATGGGGTCCTCCTCTCATCTTCAGAGTGGGGCCTAGGGGAGAAGCCTGGACCCGTTGCACAGGGGGCTCCCCCTACGTCGTTCACCTGTTTCTCATCTTCAGACAGGCTGCCCCTGGCCTCCGGGAGCTGCAGGCTCTGGATAAGCAACTGACAAGCTTCCAAGTCAGCTTCCCACACTTTTCCAAGCAGCGGACACTTGCAGCTAAGACAGAGGGGAAACAAAGGCATAAGCATCAATTCAGTGATGTCTCATCATACCAGGTCAATAGCTTGTCTACCTAAAGTTAGCTAGTTATCCTCCAGTTATCAACTTCGTTTTACATAGTGANGCATCAATTCAGTGATGTCTCATCATACCAGGTCAATAGCTTGTCTACCTGGCTAAAGTTAGCTAGTTATCCTCCAGTTATCAACTTCGTTTTACATAGTGATGGATTATTACAACCAGAAGATTCAGAGGGACCAAATTGGAATACCATCAAGTAACAAGACCTTCACCCAAGAGATCCTGTGTATTTTTCTAGACTCTGGCCCAACACAAAACAGCCCCTGCTCATGTCTGTGCTCCAGCTCTGCTGACTTTCTTGGAATCCCAGGCCTGCCCAACTCTCCCTGGCTAAGTACTTTTTCATGTACTGTTTCATCTGCCTAGGCTGTGCCTTCCTCACTATTTCTTCCTCCCAGCACTCAGTCTCCCGGGTAATGTAACTAAGCGAAGCAGTGTAGGGGTAATACAAACTGTAACAACAGATACTCAGCCTCCGTGGCAGAAAGCAACCGAGAGGAGTAGACTCCAGCTACTAGGAAAGACTTATCCCTCTACAGGGAGCCCTTCATCAGCTCAAGCCAACTAAGCCTATGCACAAGGAAAAATTTGGTTTTCCACAGAAAGCCAAAAATCTGGGATTTTAAATGAATATATGTATTTTTTATCCATCTATGCAGCTTCATGCTGGATATTTTCAATACATTTATCTTCCATTTAATAATCCTTCCTTCTACTGTGTCTAATCTGCTATTCAATTTATCTACTGTGTACTAAATTTTACTTTGTTTTTCAGTTCCATAATTTTTATATTCTTTTACATATTTCAATTTTCTGCTTAAATTATCCATCATATCCTCTATATTCTTGAACATATTATCATCATTATTTAAAAACCTGTGTCTATGATGATGAATCCAGACCGAAAAATAAAAAATGAGACAGTAACAATATTAGGGAAGATATTAGCTAAGAATTGTCAAATATTGACAAGGAAGCACTCCAATCTCAAAGCAGAGAAACTGTTGAACATCAAAGGCAGAATGAAATTCTTAAAAGCAGCTGGGGGGTGGGGGGAAACATTTACTGCAAAGGAACTATTGTTCCTTTGGATGACAAACAGTGGAAGCCAAGAAACAATAAAACATCTTAAAAATGGTGAAAGAAAAAGCACAAAATTGCAAAAAACATGGCACTAAGTAGACAGCAAGAAGGAGTTTACGTATGAGGGCGTCACCTTCTTGATCGACTACGGCTGAGAACAGGCGCATCGGGTGACAAACGTTTAGCCACTTTGCACACGTCCATGAATGACATGAACGCTCTGCAGGTGTTGATTTGGAGGTTACACACAAATTCTAGTGAGCAGGCAAATTCACCAATACAGAATCCACAAATAATGGCGATCAACGGCATATATGATCATACCACCTTATTTCTAACAGCCAATACCTGGGAGGAAAAATAAATCTCCATAAACGGAAAAATGGGTAAATTATGGCATAATCATTCAGTGGAATATTAGTACAATCTGCAACAATATGGATGAAGCTTATAAACAAATTTGGGCCAAAACAAAAAGACAAACAAGAGGCACTATGATTCCACTTATTCTATATTTTAAAATACATAGAACTAATCCATGGTGTTTGAAATCAGGATTCTGGCTGCTTTGGGGAGAAGGGGAGTGATGACAGGGAGAGGCATGGGGATGGCTACGAATGGACTGGGGGTGTTTTATTTCTCAGTGGTGGTGTTCACGACAATGTTCATTTTATGAAAATTCATGATGCATGCACTTTCTGGCTGTGTTATATGCCAGTCTAAAACAATCAGAAGAGACAAAGAGAGAAGGCAGATTTTCTGAGCCATGTCCTGGGAGAGGGGACAGGGGTGAGGTACACACAAGAAGTAATCGATAGTCCTCGGTTAGAAACACTGGACTGGATATTTTCCAGCTTCCTCATCTCAACCAGCCTTGGCATCTGTTATCTGAGGCTGGGTTTCCCTACTGGGATGCTTCCCAGCCGCTCCAATGTTCTCCTGTGAGTTGATTTATCAAATCCATTGCCCGTTTATTCCTTTCTTATCCATTTTACTGACACTTCCATAGCTTTAATTTTTATAGTCTACAGTTTTCTATTCCTTCTTGTGTCCAATGTAACACTTTATATCCTTTGTAGAAATAAATCCCTTTTCTCATGGGCTACATATGTATTAAAATATCTGTTCAAAATTTTTAAAATTAAAAATTATTTTTAAATCACCTGTGTCCACAGACACTTTTCCTTCTCCTTCTGTGTTTTATTTCTGAGCCTCTTTTCTGCTTTATCTTGTCCAGTCTTATCAGAAGTTTGCTATCTTACTAATCTTTTCAGAGAACCAGTATTTGCTTTGTTAATCTCTGATATTGATTTTTTCTTTATTTCCTTGATTTCTGATCCTTAGATCGCTTTTTTCCTTATTACTTTTGATGAGCTTCTTTTGTTAAATACTTAACTTGTTTACTTTCTTTCTTTTATTTTCCTCTCTTGCTATTTTGATTTTCTCATACATGTATTTAAAACTCTAAATTTTTGTCTGAGTAATATTTTAATCATGTGTAACATTTTTGTTTATTGTAAAATATGTTTTTAAGTTTTAAAATTACTAAATATTTTAAATATACAGAAAAATATAAAAAGTAATTTAGCAGACACTTGTATACATACCATTAAAGTTACCAATTTTTAATCTTTTATAATTAAGTCAGACTTACTTCCAGAATTTACAACTTCATTGTTCCACAAATTTCACGTATTAATGCTTTCATTGTCTTTCCTCATAATTACTTCTATACAAGGGCTGCTCAGTAGTATGTTTTTCAGCTTTCTTTTTGTTAGATTAATACCTAATTTTATTGCCTAATGGTTAAGAATATACCATTAGGTTTATAATATTAATTGAGACGTCCTGTATCACCAGGTACTTCACTGATTTTGTAAATGTCCCTACATGTCCAAAAGGAGTATGCCGCTCACTGAGTCAAAAGTGAAAGCATATTGTTATTAACATTTTTATACCTTTGCTTTTTTTTTGTCTGCTGCATCTACCAATGCCTGAGATGAGTGTTTTAAATTTCCAACTACAATTCCTGATTCATCTATTTCCTCCCTCGGTTCTATTAGTTCTTTTATGTATTTCATATCATAACGTTAGACGCTTATGTTCCAGTCATTACATTTTCTACTGCTTCTTTTCAGTATATGATGATTGTCTTGGCTGATGTATTTTAGCCTTAAAATCTAATTTGTCTGATATTATAATTGCTACTTCAACATTCTTTCAGTTCAATTTTTCCTGGCTTATATTTTTACCACCCTTTATTTTCAACTGTTTTTAGGTATTTTTTTGAAAAATGAATCCAATAAAAAACATTTGCTGAATCTTATTAAAATCTTTTCTAGGATAGTATCTTTGGTCTTGGTGGCTTTAACTCATGTATTCACAATGCCTGTAGCTATTGTGTAATTGTTGCTATTTTTCTGGTTTATTGCAACCAAGATTTTTAATTGTTTAAAAGTTTTATGTCTTTCTTTTTTCCTACCTTCCTTTTTCTTATTATTAAATTCACATACAATTGTGAGAAATAATGCAGAGAGATCCCATATGCCCTTACCCAGTTTCCCGTGATGGTAATGTTTTGCAAAAATATAGAACATCACCACAACCAGAGATGTGGCATTGATTCAATCCACTGATCTTACTCGGATTTCCTCTCATGCGTGTGTGTGTGTGTGTGTGTGTGTGTGTGTGTGTGTATGGTTCTACGCAATCTTATCATCACTTGTGTAAGTTTATGTATCCACCACCACACTCAAAATACAGAACAATTCCATCTCTACAAAGACACCTAGGTCCCATTATATAACCACACCCACCTATTTCCCACCTTGACCCCATCCCTAGCTTCTGGAAACCACTAAATTTCTGTTTTCCATTCTAAAATGTTGTCATTTCAAGAAGGTTATATAAATGGAATCACAGCGTATGTGCCTTGGGGGGTTGGCTTTCTTTGTTCAGCATAATTCCCTGGAGATCAGTGTACCAATAGTTTGTTCCTTTTTATTGCCCACTAATATTCTGTATAATTTACCCCAGTTTGTTTAACCAAACAAAGGACATCTCTCATGTGCCCTGTCTGGGGATATTATGAATAAAGCTGCTATGAACATTTGTGTACAGGTTTTTGCATGAAATTAAGCTTTTCTCTCTATGAAATGTCCAAGAGGGCAGTTACTGGGTTGTATGGTAAGTGCACATTAATTCTGTAAGAAACTGCCACGCTGTTTTCCGAAGTGACCACACCATTTCACATTCCCACCTGCAATGTATGAGTGACCTAGTTTAGCTGCAAACTTACTAATATTTGGTGCTCTTCTAAACTTTTTTAACTATGCTGGTAGTTGCGTGGTGATAGCTCACTGTGGTTTTAAGTTGCATTTCCTCACGTATAATGATGTTAATATCTTCTCAAGTGTTTGTTTGCCATCTGCAGCCCCTCTTCAGTGAGAGGTCTGTTCATGTCTCTGGCCTGTTTTCTGGTTGTATATTTTCTTGACCCTCAGGTTTTGAGAATTTTTCATATATTCTAGACACGAGCCCTTTGTTGGACGTGTGGTTTGCAGATATTTTCTCCTAGTCTGTAGCTTGTCTTCTCATCCTCTCCACGTACGATTTTGCAGAGCAGAAGGTTTTTTACTTTAACGAAGTACGATTTATAATGATTCCTTCTAACGAATCATGCTTTTAGTGTCAAGTCTTAGAAATTGTTGCATAACCTTAGATAAACTCCCATTTTTATTCCTAAAAGTTTTTTACTTTAGGGTTTACACTAAGTCCATGATCCATTTAAGTTAATTTTTGTAGAAAGTGTGAGATTTAGGCTGAGGTTGATT